GTGACCATCAGGCCATGTTTCCTCGGCCAGATTTTGACTGCCCTGACAACAGGGTTTCTAATTCATGTCCCTCCGCTGGGACTCTTAAGCTTACCATCTAAAAGATGTTACTTATATAGATGTATTTTAATATCTTATATTAAAATACTTAAAAAAACCTCATTATTTTATTGTAAGGAGTGCCACAAATTTGGGCCTGTCTTTGGACTCTCATTGGTGCCACTTTTTGGCCACCGCATTCTCTCAGATTTCCCGGTGAGAACGTGGAAAACCCTAGGCTCAGTGCCGCTCCCCTTCTCTTGTGATGCTCTTGAGAAGAGGCTGGGTGGAGTCTGGGGAAATGCCAGTGTGCAGAGCTGCCTGTGTGGACAGAGGAGGCTGAGTCCCGCCGAAATGGTCCTACAGCACATTGTGTGTCCCCTTGAGGGCCGGAAGCTCTCAGCTGCACATCGCTGGCTTTTGGGGAGACATGTTAATCCCAAGAGAGTGAGAGTCTGCCCTGATTCTCTGAGTTGACATCATCGCCAGGCGTGTACTAAACTCAGTATCCCTTCCACCTACTTCTTCAGATCCCCACACATGCTGCAGGTTCCAGATACACCTACGAGTAGGTGGTCCTGATCGAGAAATTCCTATGTACAATTATATTCAGTGTGTCTTTTTCGATTAAATGTGCTATGTGTTTAGCATCAAAAACATAAAAAGTCCATAATATCTATAATTCCAGTAAATACTTTATTATACAGACATACAGTTAATGGGTCTGTATAAACACACACCTGTATGCCCATTTGATGCTTACAAGGATCTTGTGAACATTTTCTGTATTATTAAATATTTTCCTACATGATAATTTTTTTAAAGTGTGCCATGTTCCATTATAACTGCATATATCATTTTAACCGATCTCCTCTTCATGTGAGATAATCAGGTCGTTGCTAATTTTTTTGCTACTATGAAAAACTCTGAGAAGGACATGGTGTTATATATAAATCCTTTGGTTCATTTCTGCTGTTACCTTGGGTTGGATGCCTAAAAGTAGAACTCATGAGTGAAATAGAATGCATATTTTTAAGGTCTTAAGAAATTTTATTTTTTAATTGACAGATAATTGTATATATTTATCATGTACTACATGATTTTGAATATGTATGCCTTGTGAAGCAGCTACAAATCAAGCTAATATAGATTACATCACATGCTTATCTTTTTTTTTGGTCACGAAAACGCGTAAAGTCTACTCTTCTGGCAATCTTCAAGAATACAATCCATCGTTACCTATGGTCACCGCGTTGTATACTAGGTCTCTCGAACTTATTCTCCCTATCTCATTGCAGTTTTGTATCCTTTGACCCATATCTCCTCCACACCAGCCTGACCGCCAGCCCCGGGTAACCACTGTTCTATGCTTTACTTCTATGAGTTCAGCTTTCTTAGATACAGAGATCGGCGAGATCATGTTTGCTTTTCTGTGCCCGGCTTTTGTTCCACTTGGCTTGAGGTCCTCCAGGCTTATCTACGCTCTTGCAAGCACAAGACGCCTTTCTTAAGGCCGAAGGGTACTTTGTTGTGTACGCACGCCAGGCCTCCTCTGCCCGTTCATCCTTGGGGGCCACTTGGGTTGATCCCATCCCTCGGCTGCTGTGAGGAGTGCTGCCGTGAACACGGGCATGCAGTCCTCTCTTCCACAGGCAGATTCCATTTCTTTTGTATACGTACCCAGAAGTGGGATGGCTGGATCCTGTGGTGGTTCTATTTTTAATTGTTTGAGGAACTTCTGTGTTATTTCCCATAGTGGCTATACTTTAAGGTTTCTGATTCATACCGCAGAAGTTCCCTGTGGAAAATGATACGTGTTTGTACCTAATGAGCACACTGCTCACTTCCCCAAGTCCTCCCTGACACTGCGTGTTTGGGCAGGGAAGGCGGTGTTTGCTGTTGGTGATGTGAAAGTTCACTGGCACCAGCCTCTTTCCTAGGGAATAAGATGGGCGTCGTCTCCCCTCTGCCAGTTTTAGTGAGATGGGGGTGCATTCCATTTCCCAGCTCTGGTTGTGGAGATCCTCACATGCGTAAAAGCACCTGCTGTGGTGGCAGCACGCCCCAGCCTGGGGAGACAGAACTCGAAGACGCCTGTCCCCAGCACGCACAGTCTCCTGGTCATCCTTCCAACACGGACATTGGCATTCCCGGGAAGAGATTTTGATCTCACAAATGTATTATGGTCCTAAATCAGTTGAAGGGAAATTGTCCTGGTGGTCTTGACCTACCCGGCCGAGTCCTTGAAGGAGTGTGGCTCTTCCTGGCAGAAAAGCGATGGCAAGCACACGAGGCACGGCACCTTAGGATGGGCCTCCGCTGCTGGCTTTGAGGATGGAAGGAATGCAGGTCGCCTCCAGGAGCCAAGATCCATCCCTGGCTGACAACCAGCAGGGACACGGGGCCCTCGGTCCTGCGAGCACAGAAAACAGCATGGGTGATCCTGGAAGGGGCCCCAGGCACCAGATGGCGGTGCACCAGCCAGCACTTTGACTTAAGCCCTGTGTTACCCTGAGCAGGAAAGCCCACCCTGCCCTGCGCAGGGTCCAGCCTGCAGACCTGTGAGCACCCCCCTCGGGTGTGGTTTTAGGCCCCTAAGATTGTGTTAATAATAGATCATGCAGTAATTTATTTAAAAAAGCAAGACAGTGTTTTTAAATCTGAGTGCAGATGTCTATAGAGAAACATCAGATGCAGCATACATGGCTGTGCATGTTAACGTAGAAATACTTTGAGGAAGGCCGAAACCCCATTGGCTTCTTGGCCAGTCACATAAGTGATGACTTATGTCATCCAACAGCACGTTTTCTAAAGATAGCTTGCTAAGGCCGGGCTCAGTGGCTCAGCCTGCAATCCCAGCACTTTGGGAGGCTAAGGCAAGTGGATTGCCTGAGCCTGTGGGTTCGAGACCCACCCGGTCATCTCTACAATAAAAATTTAAAAAATTAGCCAGGCGTGGTACTGCATACCTGTAGTTCTGGTTACTCGGAAGGCTGAGTTGGAAGGATCCCCGGATCCCAGCAGGTCGAGGCTGCGGTGGTCGGGAGCATGCCACTGCACTCCAGCCTGGGCGATGGAGTAAGACTCCAACTCAAACAATAAAAATTAAAAAAGATATTTTGCTAAGTCATATTTCTTGTATCTTGTACTAGATGCAGTTAATTTTTTAAACATGGTTGCTTGATTTTGCATTCAATTCCATTTTTCCCACCTCAGGCTGAACGTGCCATCTCTCAGGGAGTCCGTTGGAAACCACCTAAGAGGTCCCAACACCACACTTCCCATGAAATCCTGGGTTTGGACGGAGGATTTTCCTTCGAGTAACCTGTGGGACAGAACTGATGACCCCTGTGGTGGACGGTGGGGTGCACACAGTGCCCAGCATGTTTCTGCTGAGAGCACTCGGGTAGGATATCCATGGGAGGGGAGGGTGTGAGCCAGGGCGGCCGTAGGTGCAGAAACCCAAGGGAGTGGCCACAGAATTGGGCTTTGCTACGGGAAAGAAGGTAAGTTCTGAGAGGCTGTGCTCACTCAGCCAGGGTACACATGACCCATGGCAGAGCCCGCTGGCTTCTTGATGTCCTAATCTCCATCAAAGAGATTCCTTCTGGAGATTGAGGCAACGTTTGGTAAAAGCTTAGAGACCCCAAATGAGGCACTGGAGAACTGTTGGGCTGTTTTCAAAAACATTCAGCCTCATCAAGTCCACGAGGGAGCAGGGTTCTCCCTGAGGATGTCCCACGAGAGCATATGGGGTAGGACCCGTCCTGTGAAGGCGAGCTGCTCTGGAATCACACCTCCATCCACTCGCTTTCATCTTTCTCAAGAACACCCGTCGCCCATGTTCTGTGAGCGATCCCCCAAAGTCGTTTGACTACAGACAGGTGTTCAGGTGGGTGTGCTGGGTCCTGCATGTGGTCCCTCTTGGAGTTCCTCAGTGGGGGCGTGGTTGGCGTTTTGCCTAGAGCAGACCTCACTCCACAATTCCGTGCCTCTGGGATGATTAAGGCTCACCTCGCAGCCCTACAAGGTTCAGGGTGTTCCTTGGGTGTAGAGACAAGCACAGGCCAGCAAAGGTACCCAGAGCATTCCATGAAAAGAGCTCCTCCCTAAAGGAGGATGTTAGTCGGTACCAGAAGGTTCGTCCTCCATGACTCCGTCAGCCTGGAGAACATCGTGCTCGTAAATCCACCGCTTTCCTGCATCTGCCCCTTGGGTGATGTTCACAGAAGCAGCACAGAATAGAGTTTAAAATTGCTAATAGGCCAGGTGTGGTGGTTCACACTTATGATCCCAGCACTTTAGGAGGCTGAGGCAGGACAATTGCTTGAGCTCGGGAGTTCAAGACCAGCCTGGGCAACATAGTGAGACCTCATCTCTGTGATTTTTTTAAATTAATTAAATCATTTAATAATCAAATGGCTAAGTCTGGCCATGGGTCCTGAGAGGAATCTTTAACCCTTTACCCTGTCTTCTCTGCACCATGAGGTGATGAATCGTCCTCTTGGACCTGCCTTGTGGGGATAACTGTAAAGAACAAATGCCATGGTCCTCGCAAACATGCTTGGTCAGTTAAAAAGATGAATTCAGACAGAAAGTGCACAGATAAGTGTATTCCTATCAGGCAAGATAGCCTTTCATGTTGTTGATGGTAAACTGAAAACACTCGCATTTCAGAACTGGGGAGGGTGTGTCAGTCTAGACTCCCAGTTTATTGCCTTTAACTGTTTGGCCTTTTACTTCTCGATCTTGACCTTCCCAGAGACGTCTAGGACTGAGTCACTTGCCGCCCGGGCCGAGGGATGGCCGTGGGGATGACCTGGAGCCTCTGTGAGTGGAGGCGAGGATGGGGTGGCTTTTCCGCAAGCGTCCAGCCTAATGAAGACCTGTGCTTCCCGAACTTCCGGGCTCCTAGCTGACCCTGCTGTGAGAGTGCTGACCTCTTTTTGTTTCTGTCAAAGATTTATGTCCACCTGAAGGAAGGCGGAGGCCCAGATGGTCTGGACACTCTGAAGAACAAGCCCCAGCTGCATGGCATGGTGGCCAGGAGCCTGTGCCGGAACGCGGCGGGCAAAAACTACATCATCTTCACGGGACCCAGCATCACCAGCCTGACCCTGTTCGAAGAGTTTGAGAAGCAAGGTCTGTCAGGGGAGGAGCTGGCAGGGACATGGTGGGACGGGGTCTGGGCAGAGTGCGGATCTGTGGCGGCCAGCGCAGGGCGCAGTGTGCTGGGCAAGGATCCCAGCCTTGAGGGAACAGGTGTATCCCCGCCACCTACATGCTTGGACCCTGGAGACCTCAAGGGGTATGAGTCAAGAGCACACAGTCTGGCGCATGTGTCAGCACAAAGCTGTACCCCATCTCTAGGACATTTCGTTGTGTGTCCTTCGTTGTAAAGCCTTGGTCGTCAAAAGCCTGTGTCCCCTAGGCGCAGGCCCTGATAAGGCTCTACTAGGCAGTCCCCCGAACTCACCTACCGTTTATGATGTGGACCCTTCCCAGGTAACAGATGAGAATTACGTAAAGACAGGGAACAACATGGTGGACTTAGGAAAAGTCTTAGGTTTCCTGGGAGCCAAGATGCCTGGTTCATTGCAAAGACTGGACAGGCCTTCCATGGCCGTGGCAGACAGAGAAAGAAGCTCTGAATCAGGCAGGTGCCCAATGGCAAGCCACATCGCCTGGCATTGCCCATGTGTGGGGACTGGTACCTGGCCCACTCAGGAGCAGCACAGAAAATGCCTGTTCCACTGCAGCGGCCCCTAGCACTGCAGCTCTTTTGCTCAGCAATAGATGAGACATCTGGCCTTCAAACTAGGCCCTCGAAAGCCACAGGAGCAGACAGCTGGCAGCATGGGGCATTCGGATTCCATGCGGGAGTGGCCCCAGGCTCTGTGCTCCTTGAGGGCCTAGGCTGGACCCTGCTCCCCTGAAAAACCCTGGGGCCAACAGGACTCCATAGTTATCTATTGAAAGACTTGAGTGTGGAGAGAGGCCTGAAAGGAAAGTGAGAAAAACTGGGCCCTAATGCTTATTAGCCATCTGCTTTGGAAGAACAGCAGGGGCTCTGTGTTTGAGTGCACGTGAGAACCAGGACCGTTGGTGCAGGGCCTCGTTGGGCGCCGTGTGTGGAGCAGCACAGCCCCTGGTCACGTACATGTTACAGAGCCCACTCCCCACCTCACACCTTCCACCCGGACCGAGCGTGTGTGGTGGGGGTGGGGTCGACGCCATGCGTCTGAGGGATGGCATCGCGGGGATGTCGAGGGACTGTGCTGGGCCATCAGGGCTGCTTCCCAGGGAGCTGGGCCTGCTGCTCTGTGACCCTGAGGAGAGGGGACACTCCCTGGCCCGGGGAATTAGGAGGAGGATGGGAAGAGCATCTTCGTGCTGGGAGAAAATGACTAGCTATGGAATTTGGAGGTTTTTCAAGAGAAGTTCAGGTAATAGATGCAGAGACCGCGTTGCCTATTTTTAGAAGCATCTAAAATGATTAGCCCGCTTTTAAGACATCTTGTGGATCACCTACCAGCAACCTGACCGTATTTTTTAGTTAAATAGTGAAAAACGAATCACTTCATATCAAGTAGTATAGCGTTGTAACCAACTATTTGTATTGTCATGATATTTGGCTTATAACCAAATATGGGGCATTGAGGAACTAGGACAAAAAAATCAAAATTAAGCATCTTATAGGTTTCTAACGTGGTAACGTGTGAAACAGTCACTGACAGCATTGCCGCTTCACTGATACATGTGCAATGGTAATTTGTTTGACATGCTCCATCTGGTATTTTTCTACTCGAGCAGACAATGCAGGCTCATTTTCTTCCACCGACATGATAATATGTAATTTATTGTCCAGTCTGTTGTTTGCAGTCTGTGTGGAAGGACACACTCGTGATTCCTGAAAGACACTTCTCAAATGATCGGTCAGAACCTAGACAGATTTCACATAGGACAGGACATAGGTTTTTCATTGTTTTTTGTGGGGTTTTTTTTGATGCTCAATACAGTATGTAGGAGTGAATAATGAATCTTTCCAGTCCCTAGAAATTTCCTCCACTGTTTTATAGATTTTTGCAAAAAACAATATGTATAAGCACATTGATTCACACCACTCATATTTGCAGCATAATTTAGAATCATTTCAAGCTTTTTGACTGATAGAATATTTCCACCACGGAATATCCTTGTGGTCGATTTCATTCCTACATTATTCCAAGTCCTGAGAATTGTAACGACTCTTTTGTCCTTCCACACAAGAAACATAAGATTATTTTTCCTATACTCTGCCATATTTTTGTTGTTGCTGTCGTTGTTGTTGGTAAAAAAAAAAAACGTTGGCTTTTTGATCTGTGCTGGTATTCCCTTTCGGTTGACTTTGATTACACCAAAAAGATGACATTTCATCTTTAGTAGTTCTTCTGCTAGGACAATACTCGTGTTATATCTGTCAGTAAACATGTGGTATCCTGCTGTATTGGGAACTATTTTCAACAACTTCTTACATAAATGTAACAAAATTCTGGTGCTTACTGGAAGATCAGGTCGAATGGTGTTTTCAGATGCTATGCTGCTGTGGTAGGAAAGTATTGAAAAAAGATGCCCTGTTTTTTTCATCGGGTGTATATGCATATGCCCCGTTTGGTGGACTTATTTGGCTTGTATGTTCTCAATGATATTCGCCCTTCAAATCGAACAACAGGCCCATCAACAGAAATTGCCTTATCTGATATGAAATATTATGAAAACTTTGAATCGATGTATTCCAAATAATGATGGGTCTTTTGAATATGAGTTCTGATCATCCCATCCCTTGATGCAGTGTCTTCAAATGAAGCTCCCAGAAGATTTGCGTAAACCTTTCTCTACTGAATGTTTCTGAAGAGAAGAGTATTTTTACTATGGAAAGCTGTTGACCAGTGCAAACCTGGCACTTGAATTATTCCCATATTTAGAATAACTGTGGTAAAAGCTAAACATTCCTGTTGCTCAACTTGTGTCAAATGGATTTGTGTGATCAATGCTTTTTCCATGTTTTTTAATCCGCATAACAATTTGTTTTTTTTACTGCACTGTCCACTAATTCATTCGTAAAACACAGAGTGAAGCAGTTGGTTCTCTTGTATTACTTGCTCCTTGTGGTCCTGTTGCTTGAGGACGCGCCACAAAATTTATTCTCTCGTCTTTTTCTGTAACATCTTCGCATTCGTCACTTGACGGTACGCCGTCTTCTGCTCCTTCAAAACTACAAGCACTTGCATGGCCACCACTTCATTTTACGTTCGCCCATTTTCTTCTTGGTGGGATGATACCACTGTCACTGCTATTGCCATTCTCTGGCTGGTAGTGCAGATGGAGCCCCAGGCGGGTGACTTAAAAGCCTTACCCAGAGCAGAATTTATCTTAATAGAAGCAATAAGTTCCCGATCTCTGGAGCTGTTTGGCTGTGAGATGGATTGTGAATGGAAACAGAATTCAGCAGAGGCGAGGCTGCCACCTGCTGTTGGGGCCACCGCAGAAGACGTTCCTGCCTTTGGCAGAACACTGAGCTGGAGGGCACCTCACTTCCCTTACAGCTCTTTAAGATTCTGACTCTGCAACCTGATGCCAGTACCAAACACACCAAGGTCCACTTGCACCAATGACCGTCCTTCACACTAGGCCTATGGAGACAGGACCTAAGATTCTGAATTTGCTTAGATGTCTTCCCTGATACCTACACACAGGCATCAAATGACTAATCCCTTTAAAATCAATATTTGAAGTTTGCTACTTCTCAGAAATAATAATGGGTGGTGACCAAATATCCTGAAGCTCAGAGTGCTTCTAAATCCTCTCAAAATAACAAGAATGTTAATCAAAATAAAGCAGTTCATCACTTAACTTGAGGCCTCATCGTATTCCTACTTTCTTGGCAGTACCTGCAGCCAGAATAGCTCTTTCCACAGATAGAATAAAGGTCTGTTAAAAGCATGAGGTCTCCAGGTAGAAGAGACCCAGAAGACCTTCAAGAAAAAATGCTGTGGTGATAGCACGGGTAACTAATCATAATCTATTCAGTGAAAAAAAAGTTCGCGAAACAGTATAGGTATGTGTGTACAGTCTACAAAAAGAGTTGAAAATACAAGCACCCAAAGAAATAATAGTTATTTCTAACTAGTGGAATTATAGTTGTCTTCTGTGTACTTCTTTTTGCCTGCTATATTTTCTATAATAAATGTGTATTTTCAACAAGAAAAAAAAAAAAGAAAGAAAAGCACCCTTACCTTTGCGTGTAAGCTCCCTGTTTTTCAAAAAGGCTTCTTCCTTTCGGTTTGAGACCTGCCTGGGCAACTTGGTGAAACCTCATCTCTACAATAAATTTTTAAAAATTAGCCGGGCGTAGTAGCGCACGCCTGTAGTTCCAGCTACTCGGAAGGCTGAAGTGGAAGGATCGCCGGAGCACAGCAGGTTGAGGCTGCAGTGGCCAGGAGCGGCCACTGCACTCCAGTCTGGGCAACAGAGTGAGACTCCAACTCAAAAAAAAAAAAAAAAGATTCAAGTTGGCCATATCTGACTGCCAGGAGGGGGCTGCCCCAGGAAGGGATCGGGAAGAGGGAGCCGACAATAGGGGGTGGGGTGCTTCTTCTGATGCCGGGTGGGATGCTGTGGGGGGAGGGATACAGTGGCAAGGGACATGTACGCATGGAGGGTGCCACGTGTTCGACTGACAGATAGTACTATCGCCCCCCAGTAAACTGAGAGGAGCGTGAAGGATGAGACTGTCTCCAGGGTCTTCACGGCCCCTGTAGGCTGCTAAGGACAAGGTGAGTGCTTGATGGCCCCATGCCCTGGCCCAGCAGGATGGGGCAGGCCTGTGAAGTGAGTGGGCCGGAAAGGCCTTGAGTCCAGTGTGGAATTTAGCGAGTCCTCAGTGGGTAACAAGGGCTTAGTGCTGTGCCAGCACCAACGACAGCTCCTGTTGCTACCATTGGCCCGATGCTTATATGTATGATGGCTCTCCATGTGATCTTAACATGTTATGTATCATACGTAGCACATGCCACATATAATAATATTTAACATTCTTACAAAAGGACCTGGGAAATTGTCACTAGGGGACACAGCAGAGGGATAAAAGACCCCAAAACTTTAGCAGACTCCTCTAGGGGTCTTCTGGAGGGGTCGTCTCCCAAGTGCCAGCCTCAGAAGGGGCCATCCCCTCCTTCCCTTGGGGATGCCCAGGGTGCGGGGAGTCGCTGGCCTGTCCCACATGGGGTGTGTGCGATCCTGTGTTCCTCTACCCGCAGAGATTTACTGCTGCGGCCTGCTGAGCGCCAGGAAGAGTGACTGCACCGGTCTCCCTCCGTCCATGCTGACCAACCCAGCCACCCCCCCAGCCCGGGGTCAGCACCAGATCAAGATGAAGGGGAACATGTCCCTGATCTGCTGGTACAACAAAGGTCACTTCCGCTTCCTGACCAACGCCTACTCCCCCATGCAGCAAGGTGGGTGCAGATCCGCGGGCTGGGGCTGGCAGAGGGTCTGGACAGGCTTGACTGAGACAAACGGTGGGGTAAATGCACAGTCCACTCTGGGGTCGGGCTCTCTTCGGTGATCATCAGTTTCTGGGCTGTGCTAGCCTGAGGTGGCGAGGAGGGAGCTGCTGGGTCTGCAGGGGAGGCGGGCTGCCTCTGGCAGCCCCCAGCTCAGACACGGGCTGGGATCCTGGGCTGCATTGGAATGTCATTTCCCTCCATCATCTGAGATTCTGCGGAAAGTCTCTTCCTCTCTCTCCATGTCTTCCTTGGAGGTTAAGCACCCGCATTGCTGGGTTTGGCAGTTCCCTTGATCTCTTCGTTAATTTTCTTTGGGATGGAAAATCCATTCATAACAGAGACTTAGCAAGAGTCTGTATTTAAAGCAACCTATAGTAAAAACTTTATTAAGCTGCTGAAGAGAAAATCGAAAGGACAAAGGGGCACTTGACACAAATCTTTACATTGTATCACGTAGAGGAGCAATCTCTTGCCAGCCTTTACATGAAGACATCTGACTTCTTCACTTGGATTTTTTTTTTTCAGAGACAGAGTCTGACTCTGTCTCCCAGGTTGGAGTGCAGTAGCACGATGATGGCTCACTGCATCCTCAGCCTCCTGGGCCCAAGCAAGGCTTCTACCTCAGCCTCAGTGTGCTGGGACTTCCGGCCTCACCACATCACGCCCAGCTCCCTTGGCTTTTGTGGAAACACTGCCAAGGAGTTCGATTGTGCGTGGGTGTTGTGTGTTGTGTATCGGTGTGTGTATATGTTTGTGTAGTGTGTATGTTTGTGTGGCGTGGTGTTTATATTTCTGTGGTGGAGTGTATGTATGTGTATGTATATTTTGTGTATGGTGTATAGGAGTGTGTGGTGTGTACGCTTGTGTGATCTGGTATGTATACTGCTGTAGTGTGTATGGTGTATCTATTTCTGGGGTGTAGTGTGTGTATGTGTGTTTATGTCTGTTACTTGTGTGGTGTGTATATTGGGTGTGGGTGTGTATGTTTGTGTATATAGGGTGTGTATGTTACATGTTTCTGTAGTGTATGTGGTGTATGCATTTCTGTGGTATGGTATGTATATGCTGTGTGCGGTATGTGTATGTTTAATGTGTGTGGTGTGTGTGTTTCTGTGGTGTGCAAGTGCTGCATATGTGGTTGTGTTTTCATGGTGTGTGTGGTGTGTGTGTGCTACTTGTGTGCTTTGTGTTTCTGTGGTGTGTGTGTGCGTGTGTGGTGTGCGTGTGCTACATGGGTGCTTTGTGTTTCTGTGGTGTGCATGTTTGTGTGGTGTGTATATGCTGCGTGTGTGTAGTGTGCGTGTGCTGCCTGTGGGCTTTGTGTTTCTGTGGTGTGTGGTGTGTGTGTGCATGTGCCCTGTGTGATGTTCATTTACTCCCATCCCCCACACCTATGTCGCATTTCACCTCAGTGGAGATCCAGTGGATGGGTGCCACCACCCCCTGGATGTACAGGGCTGTGGGAAGCCAGCACTCTCCAGCACCATGTCCAGAGCCATCAGAAGAAAGGTGTGAGCTGGGCATGGTGGCTCACACCAGTAGTCCCTGTGCCCTAGGAGGCCAAGGCGGGAGGATTGCTTGAGGCCAGGAGCTTGAGGCCAACCTGGGCAACATATTGAGACTCTGTCTCTACAGAAAGAAGCAGCAACAGCAAAGACCGGAATTGAAGGCCAGGTCTGGGTTGCCCTCCAGACTCTAGTGGCTAGGGTCTCGTGCGGAGCAGTGAGTTTCCAGGGCGTGGGTTTGGGCATTTGGGGTCAAGAGCTGCTCCCCACCAAATTGTGTTAAGTGGTGGCCTCTGGAAAGGCATCCCACAGCAGGACATGGCATTCCTCTGGGCTTAGTGGAGTGAGATGACGAAGCGAAGCCATCTGGAGGGTTGGAAAGAAGCGTTGGCTAGGGTGTGAGATGCCAAATGCGAAAATCCCAGTCTTGAGGGCTGTGACTCTTAAAGCAGACCCCAAGGGAACAAGGAAGGAGGTTGACGATGGAGAGGGAGAAGGCTGGCAGGGCTGGCTTTTAAGTCGGCTGAAGTCCTGTGTTTAATGTGGTCACCGTTTCCAGCTCCAAAGTATTCCATTTTATGTCATAAAGTGCTGAATCCCAGACGCCCTTAAAAATTCCAAGGAGTATGACCACTGCGTGTGGCCACTGGGGACTGACTCCCCCGCTCCAGGGACCCGGGTCCCCTCCCCTGGTGCCTCTGGAAATCACTCTCAGGTGCAGTCCTGCTCACTCAGTGAACACCTCAGGGGATAGCCCCCGGGGAATGCCTGGGGGTGAAGAAGCACGGGTCTGGACGCAGCTGGAAAGAGGCAGGAGACAGCCCGGGAAGGTGAGGTTCACAGCTGCTTCTCTCTGCTGGAAATCCTTTTTCTAGTTCGCTTCTTAGAGTTACTTTTATTTTTTTATGGAGATAGTTTTCTTTTTAGTGTATTTCAAAAACACGATTTTAAAGAAGCTACCTAGTATTCCCTTTTTTTAGATGTCCCCAATTTCCTTGCCTACTCCCCCTATTAATGATACATTTTTTCATGACATAAACCATGATGTGGCAAAAGTCTTCATATGTAAACCTTTGAGGACATCTTTGATCATTTCTTTAAGATAAATATAACAGTGGAAGTGCTGGGCCCAGAGGTAGGAACACTTTTAAGGTGTTTGGTGACATGTTGCTGCAGGGCTGTACTTTGTGGTTTTTGTTTTTTGGTTCTTTTTGAGTCGGGGTCTCACTCTGTTGCCCAGGTTGGAGTACAGTGGCGTGCAATTGGGGCTCACCGCAGTCTCAACCTCAGGGCTCAAGCAGTCTTTCTCCCTCAGCCTCCTGAGTAGCTGGGACTACAGGTGTGCACCACCATGCCTGGCTACATTTTTTTTATTGTTTGTAGAGACTGGATATCCCTATGTTACCCGGGCTGGTCACGAACTCCTGGGCTCAAGCAATTCTTCTGCCTCAGCCTCCCAAAGTGCTGGGATTATAGGTATGAACTGTAAGACCCCATTGCAATGGGTCACCAGGGAACCAATGTTCCCCTACCTTTAGCAACATACTTTTTTGTCCTTTTAAAATGTGTCTGACGGAGAAAATGCTCTGAAGTTTTAAATATAAATTGCTGCAACTGTTGGTGAGGATGACTATTTATCTTCATGTGTTTATTGGCTGATTTCAAATGGTTTCCTTGTGTTCTTTATTATTTTCCTTTTGAGATATTTGCCCTTTTCTCAATAAATTGAAAGCAAATTTTCCGTCTACACTACATTTTTTTCTGTATTTTTTTGTTTTTATTTAGCTTTTTTTTTTAAACATATGAAGAGTTTTCATTTCTACATTAGCAGATCTCTTCTCTGCTCATGGGCTTTGAAAATCTCTCACATTCCAAGGCCAGATGAGTATAAGTTCACCTGGCTGTTTTATGGTGTGATTTTTGTATTCTTTGCCGTAATCCACTTCAGATTTATCTTGGTATGTGGAATCAGGTGGGGCTCAACTCTTTGTCATTGTTCAACCGCAAGGGTGAGTTGACCTATGTAACTCTGAGTATGCGGCGTCTACACGCATATGTTGAACCTGGGGACAACGTGCATGTCATTCTCAGTCATGAAGTCAGCAAGGATGATCAATATCAGATGACTTCTTGTTAAGATTCCCCATGTTTAAAGCTCAGAAAGAGAGGTTGTAGGACAGCCACCGTACCTTTTCCAGCTGGAATAGTGTCTCCCAATCCAAAATATCATGGGGGGCGGGGAGTTGCTGTCTTTCATAAACTTGAGGACATGCTCAAAGAGAAAGAACTGGGTGTTGAAGCAGCTCTGTAGAGCTGAAACTTCATGTTAGAGTTAAGATTGTGAAAAAGGATGAAAAGTAAATTAAGAAAGTCGCCATGGCTAGGTTTGGGGACAGTTGCAGTCCAGGAGCCTTTGCCCCCAATGACCCTAAAACCAGGAGGCCAAACACTGTAAGCTGTAGGGAGCCACAGGGACATGGAAACACTGAGATTCTTAGAAAGCTGCCCTTGACTCACTGGAAACACTGATGGCTCAGAGTGAGTGGACTCCTGGAGTTCTCGAAATAGATCGGAACTGGAGATGGGATCCTGCAGGGGCCGCCCGCCTGGACCCTAGGCGGGAAGCAGGATGCTTGCCACTTGGTCTTAGGTAGGGTGGCTGAGATGAGAGACTGAGACAGGAATCCTCAGGAATGGTGTGGGAGAGAGTTGGCCCTTCTCGAGCGCCTGGATAGCTGAGCCTTGGCGAGCTCTGTGCCTGCTGGATCATTTTCTGGGATAGAAAGAGGGGCAGGAATCATGAGCAGGTAAAGGAGCCCAGAACCTTCTGTCAACCTTCTGTCCAGGAGGAAGCTCTGGATCTGAACACCATGGTCCTCTGGCCCTTAGAGAACTTGAAATGTGTTGCCTGGCCCTCACTCTGGGTATCAGTATCTCTGAGGGCAGGCCCTGGCAGCTACATTTCTCACAAGCTCTCCAGGTGTGTCTTCAGTGTGAGATGCCACTATTTCTGGGGGAAAAAAGAAAGATAGATCCCAGCTCAGTCTACGTACATAGATCTGTGCCACCCTGATCTCCTCACCCAGCTCAGAAAGTTGTGAGAATTGGGGTGAGAGGGAGCTGGCTGCAGGGTCTCCTTGTGGGCCTGCAAGGGACATGCTGTTTTAACAGTTTTGACGTTGTCCATTTAAGTATTCCTAAAATTTCACAATCCTGTGAGCTAGATCCTTAAGAAAAATACACACACAAAATGACACTGTGCCCACAATCCTCTCATGCTGCCAGCGAAGAGGGGTCAGAGGAAATGGTGGGTGAACCCAATCTTGTGTGGATACACTAGGCTATCTGGATGGGGACAAGTCTCTCACCCTTCTTTCCATGTCATCTGTGGTGTCATCCATGGTGGCTGTCCAGCAGCAGCTGGGCAGAAGGGTTAGGAGGGCTACACGATCCCCTTTTTCTTCTCAGACCCTGCTAGTGGGATTTATGAACCTTGCCCTGACCTAGGTGGTGCCCCTGGATTGCATTGCTCTTGTGCTTTGTAGAGGAAAAGGTACTTGAGGACATAGAGTCCCTGAAGTTCTGGGAGGCATGACTGAACAGAGGTAGGGACGGGGAGGGGTAGGCACAGAGAGAAAGGATGAGAGAGGGTAGTCACTTGGTTCTTCTAAGCCTCTAATTCTACCCTTTTGATTGTTTTAAATTGTCAAATAATAATTATGCATATCCTTGGGGTACATAGTGATATTTCAATGTACAAGGGGTGCCAAAAAAAGTATTTACATTTTAAGAGATGCTCCTCTATGTGTTACTTTCAGTTCACTGTAATCAGAAGTGTCTGAACTGTAATCAGAAGTGTCTGAACACTTTGTAACCATTTCGAGCACCTCTTGTAACTGCAGAAGTCAAACGTGACTTGAATTTATCTTTTGTTATTGGTATATATTGAGTATTACGATTTTAAGAGTTTTTCCTTTCTTAAAATGTATATACTTTTTTTTAGCATCCTCTGTATATAATGTATAGTGGTGAATAGGGTAGTTAGCATAGCCATCATCTCAAATATTGTTAGGAGATACTTTTTTTAAGAATACAAAATTTTACAGCTAGATAGAAAGAGTAAGTTCTAGTGTTATGTTGTGCTGTAGGATGACATTGATTACCAACACCCTTTTGCTTCAGTTAGTGCAGATAGAAATGACACTATGTTGCTCCCTAGTCTCAGCCACCTCTTCTTCTTCCCAGCAGCCACTGTCCTCATCTCCAGCCTGTGCAAAGGGGAGTAGGGGGAGGAAGGGAAGAGTTGAGTCCTGTGTCTCCCCTTTTGCCCTACAATGCCCCACGATGGGGCTGTGTCTCAGACAACACATATCTTTGTACTCACCTGACTTTGATGTTTTCCTCAACTCCTTGAAGCGTTTTGGTGACCGGAGTTGATTCTTTTCCATCTCCCCCTCCCACTTCTTCCTCCTTTGCTCATTATTCTAAGCCAGGGGCAACCATGCTAAATGAAGTTGGCACACTTGTAAACTGGTCTTTGGAGGACATGGTTCAGGAAGGGGGTTGGTCTTCTCTCTAACCTGCAGGAGTCATCATCAAGAGGAAGAGTGGGGAGATCCCCTGCCCCTTGGCTGTGGAGGCGTTTGCTGCTCACCTCAGCTACATCTGCAGATATGACGACAAGTACAGCAAGTGAGTGAATGCGCTGATGCCCATCCACAGAAGTGTTCTCGTAGTGGCACTATCACAGAATAGAAAAGCTGGCAGATGACCATTAGCTTCCCAACTTAAGAATGGAAGGATGAAGACTTTTGGGGTTAAAATCCTGAGCCTTTGTCTTGGACTTTCAGACTGGGCCTGTGCACACTTGGCTTCCCTTCTGGGAGACCTCTGTCAAGGTCACCTGCCTCCTCCACTCACCTCCCTCAAGCTTAATGTTCCCTTTGCCCAAAGCTGCTCTTTCTAAGACATGTAGCCTCTGAGAGTCAGCTCAGAACCTAACTCTTGACGTCACTTGCCCAGTTTCTCTATTCAGACTGTTCTCATCCATGCCAGTGACATACTAGACATCAGCCCAGGTCTTTTTACCCTGAGTCATGTGGGTTCCAGTACTGGATTCTTAGTTTTCTCCAATAGGAATGCCTATTAAGATCACCAGGTGTGGTCTCATGTTAAATACACATGAGATAGGTGTAGTATACACATAACATGGACAGTGTACAGGTGTGCGGACATACATGCACCCATGATGCTGTCCCCTGGCCAAGTGTTGTTATAGCCATCATAATGGGTACTCAAGACGTGATTGCTGTTGAACCTGTGTTTGACTATTAAATCTCTAGTATTGGGCCTCACAATTAAGAACAAGGTCGGACTAACTCAAAACTGGCATTTCCACTCAGTCTTCTTTGAGGGTAACCCACATTGTCTGGCCCTTTTCATGGTGAAGAAGGAAAAACAAGGACCTGGTTCTCTCTGGAAAATTCAGCCCACATGTGAAAGGTAGTCATTAGGACTTCACTGAACAAATCTGTCTTCTGTACCTTGCTAAGTTCCAGGAGGTTGTTACAAAGATGCTGGGATTGATGTAGTAGATGTTTGTGGGTGCCTGTTCTGTGCTGGGTATTTGGAGCCTATTTGAGGGTCATGGTCAAATACTTTATACTTTATAGTCAGGATGCAGAGACAAATACACAGAGAAAGGACACAGTATGCAAGTGAGTCCTAAGTCGGGTTCTCCTAGGAGCAGCAGCCTCAGGGTCCATTTTGGGATCCAGGTGAGCTTCCCTGAGAGTGACCTTCATATCTCAATCTCAAGGAAAGGTGGGGTGGTGACAATGTGCTCGAGAATGAGAGAACACATTGTGGGTCCTGAAGCTGAGGAAGAGCATGATTTTTGGGAAGGGAAAGCAGCTCTGTGTGTACAGAGCACAGCCTGGAGAGGGGTGAGGAACAAGCAGGGAGCTGCAGGGGCTGATGGGTCCTGTGGGGCACAGCCTGAAGAGGGGTGAGGAGCAAAGCAGGGAGCTGCAGGGGCTGGCACAGCCAGTGAGCCACATGGGGAATGCTGGTACCTGGTTCTCAGTGTCTTCCCTCAGTAACCCAGTCACATGCCCCATTCTTTGAAAGGAGTTGCTTTTGTTTCCTTTGTCTTCGACAAAGCTCACTGTGATAAAGCCCCAAGCTAGAGCTCCCCCTAGCCTGATTCCTGCCCAACCCTACCCTCCCACATCTCCAGGGGAGAGTCTGCAGGTCTCCCTGGCTGTGATGAGTTAGGCCTTGGGCGCGTCTCTCCTGGGTCTCCCTCAGCCATCAATCAGCACTTCTCACTCCTCTGTCCTCAGGTACTTCATTTCTCATAAACCCAACAAGACCTGGCAGCAGGTATTCTGGTTTGCCATCAGTATCGCCATCAACAATGCCTACATCCTGTACAAAATGTCAGACGCCTACCACGTGAGGAGGTACAGCCGGGCACAGTTCGGTGAGAGACTCGTCAGGGAGCTGCTGGGCTTGGAGGATGCTTCGCCCACCCACTGATACCAGGAGCAACTAACCCAGGCTCAGGTGGGGTCCAGGTCCAGGGAGGGGTGAGAGGAGAAGAGCCTGATGCACCTACCTGCCAGGTCAGAGACGTGGACATGGGACATGTCCTGGTGTGTGGCCTGCTGCCTGGGAGAAAGGCACAGACCTCTGGAGGGGTGAAGAGGGACTTGGTCAGATGATGGCTGCTGTCCCACTTCTCATTCCTGGAAGAGCACGTTTTCCCCGGGAAGTGGTGACCCCTCCGTGCAGCGAGTGCTCCACAGGCTTGCGATGACACACCTGAGTCTCAAGGGCAGATTATCTTGTGACATTGTGGGACCTGAAGGCAGCCTTGACTCTTAGCACAGGTGACGACAACGGAAGGCACCTGCCATAGGACAAGCCGTCGTGTGTTCTGACATGCTCACTTCATCAAGATCCAAAGAGATAGGGGATGTGGGTTTAAGTTTACAGCTGGGGATGTAAGCAGACAGGCTCTGCACGATTAGGATGACTCAGGTGTGTGGGGATGCCAGGGTTTTCCAGCGTCTGCCTCACGCAAGCAGCTTCAGACAAGTCTCTTGGAAGAAGCAGCACATCCCGGGTGTGTGGTGACCAAACGGGGCAGTTGCTGTTCTGATGACTAAGTGAAGCATCCCCGCTCATGTCCTCTGCTTGGCTGGTGGGCCGGGGAGAAAGGAAACGCCAAAAGAATGGCAGTTGAAGGGTGATGCTATTTTTTATTTTTAAATATATCTTCAGGTTATTTTCTTACTGTTGCTTAAAACCTAATGTAAAAAGTAGATGTCCCCTCCTCCTCCTCCACTCCCACCTTGGTCCCATCAAGGCTCCTTGCATGATCCCAGTTCTGTGTTCTGGCCTGTGGCAGGGGCAGGAAGGGCAGCTGGCTTCCAGAACACGTGTGGTGGTACTCCACTGAGGACCACGGGGAGCCTGCAGCCCTCGGCTTCGCCACAGACGTCATCGTTGGCAGAATTACTTGTTTTGAAAAATATGTAGCATTGCTGAAACACACAACAAAATCCCCATGGATGACCACTTGCTTATTGTGTCTCCTCTGTGTGTAGTGACCCTGGCAGTGCTTGCCGTCCTCGGGGTGGTCCCTCGGAATGGCACGGTTGACTGTGGGAAAACCCCGAGACTGGGCTGTGGTAACAGCTTGTGCTGGGTGTGATTGGGTACGAGCGCTGGGGAGCTTTCTCAGACTGGGAAGACAGCATGACCAGCAGCTGGCAGTGAGAGCTCCATTTATCCCCCAGAAGGGTCTGAGGCTCTTTCTGAGCCAGGGTTTATGTGTCTCCGTGGGAACCCTTAGCACCAGAGTGGCGGACTGGTCCAACTGTCACCACAGACAAGGGACAGGTAATTTCTGGAATTCTCCAATTCCCCTTCAACCCCATTTATGTAACCACCTCATTTTTACAAAGGCAGAACCTACTCTACTCAGGCTTTGGGGCGCTCTTCCTTGTCCACACTCATGAATGAAGTGTTGCTGCCAGCATGCTCGGGCCCACGTCATTGCTGTCTTCCAGCTTGGGATGGCGCCCTCGACCTGTGGTCTTGACTCAATGCCACGGATTGTAGGTCACATCTTAGATTGTGTTTCCAAACACCTTCGCCGTGCCCTTTGATTGGATTTAAAGCACTTTTACCACATGGAGAAATATATTTTTAATTTGTGATGCTTTTCTACAAGGTCCACTATTTCTGAGTTTACTATTTCCAACTCTTAGGGAGATGCTAATGAGAGCTGATGAATTTTCTTTTCTGTCCAAACAAGTAAAATAAAAATAAAAGTCTATTTAGATGTTGATTCTTTGTTAATACGTAAATTTGTCTGAAAGGTCAGGGAACAAAAATACAGGCTATTCTTTTTAAGATTTGATTTCTTGTTATATAATCTGGTATATATGATCTGAACTGTTCTTGGTATCTCAAACCACCGAGCAGTTTATAAAATAAATTCTGTTCAGTTTTGACTAATAGAAATACATATCGATGCTGCGTTTCAATGAGTATAATTGTATTTGTGGGTCCTGGGTCACTGAAGGAACTGTGCGGCCTGCTTTCCAGCCTGGTGGTTCTAATGTCTAATAGTTTGTGTCAGGTGTCATTCCAAATTAGCAGGAAGAGATGCTATTCCCACAGGGTGGTGGGTGCCATGCAGTTTCAAGTAAGAGAGTAATTACACAATAGTGGTTCTCCGCCTCTAAAATGGTAGCCCCCTGTTTTCTGATAAATGATGGAAAAAGATGGCCATTCAGCGGGGTCTAAAGGAGGCTTCAAGGACCACTCAGGTATGTCGTTGGGAAGAGTTTTTCTTCTTCTGTAACGACAGAATGCCTGGGGCACTGATGGAGAGAACTCTGGGGACCTGGGCCTTGTCTTAAGGACGTGGTCTGGAGTGATTTTTTTTTTTTTTACAGTGACCCTGAAATCCATCTGGCTTCAGTATCTCCCTGGGTTCCTCAGCCCTCAGGTTGGCACTTTATTGGCTCAGTAGCTGGCCACCCCCGGGGGACCAGGAATAGGCCCGGTGGGTGGTTCTCATGAGAGAAGGACCAGCATGACCCTGGCTGAGCATACGGGGCTGGCGGGCACGTCCACATCTTGTGGCCAGTGAGACCCCTTTCTGCTCAGGTCCTGCCTCTTCCAAACGAATCCCCTTTAAGAGTCTTTGCTGTGGCATCTGGAAAAGAAAGACAGAACAATGAGCTTCCCAACCCCTAGGCCAAACAAAACACCAGCAAAAGCATCCTGAGTTCTCCAAGGAAAGCCCCCATTAGACCACACCAGTGGGAATGCAACCAGCAAAGAGTGCTACACGATGGACGAGGCCGTTCTATGACAGCAGTTGTGTTGAGAATCAGGCGAGGTCCTTCTGAGCTGAAAGGAGCTTAACTGAGGGAGCTTCTGTGTTTGCTGCCTCCTCCTTCGGGCTCCGTGTCCGACTTGCATTGTCTCTTTCCCCACACTCTGCCCCCAGAGAGCCTCAGCTCTGAACACTGTCTTCCTGTGTCCATGGAACATTATGCCAGGGACATCTTCCAAAGCCCAGCGAGTCACGTGGGGCATTCGCAGTGTCTGGGCATTCTGGACAGAGACATCTAGTTAACTGACCAAAGCAGGCAAGGTCTGGCCACCAACATTAAATTAACGCTACAGCATGCAGGAGGCAATAGATCGCAGGCCCCAGACAGGGCCTGGAGGGTTCTGAATCCCTTGGGTATGGCCTCCCTGTCCTCCTCCCCAGGGACCCGGCCTCCGCAGCTGACGGCGAGGACTCGCCAAGCATCAAGCAGGGAGGAGGCTGGGCAGGCTGTGATGGCCGTGAGGACCGCAGCTCCTCGGGCCCTGGTCATTCTCCAGGCTACACTCACGGCAGAAGACGTCTCCCACAGGACCCAGAGATGGAGCGAGAGCACGGCCGCCGTATGTGCATGAGGGAGAGAGGCGGCCCTGGGTGCCGTGCTCACCTCCCGACTCATGGCCTCCACCGCACGGCTCGCTGTGCTGGTCATGGTCACCATATTTGAGAGGTCCGGCAATGGTGGCCAGTGGGCCCATGCCCGGGTGACTCAGAGTGGCCCCTCTGCCCCCTTGTTACTCCTCGCGCCTGCGAGGTGGGCACAGACAGTCGTCGCCCCCCAGTAACTGGAGGACTGGCCATGGGAGAGCCACAGGGGCTTCCCGGGAAGCCGGAGTGAGGAGAGAGGGTTTCTCACCTCCCAGGCTGCCCGCTGCAGGAGGCCACCACAGGCGCTGGCTCCGCAGGTTCATCAAGGGGATGGGGAACTGTATTCCTGGGTGCCATGCCTTCCAAGGGCACCTTCCTCTTTCCACAGCCAAGCCTCTCTTCGGATCCAAGTATTGCAAAAGATCACTGGGAGCTCTGCGGTGCCACCCTTCCTCTAAGCTCTGTTCTTTTCCTAGATTGAGGTGGGTGTTTTGGGGGGATTGACAACAAATGAAGCCAAAGTTTACCTGGTAGTGAGCCGGGATCTTGAGGTCCTAGGCCACAGCAGGCCCTGAGCTGGAGCTGCAACTTCTCCTCACCCATGGCCCAGTCTGTAGCAGTAGGGAGGGCCAGGGAGGGTTCAGTCATGGGGTCTCACCACAGAATGTCCGGGGATCTGGGCCAGAGTGACCATTCTCCAGAATGCCACAGTTTGACTTCCTCAAGACTTCACCCACACACTGCTTTTTGTCTCTGGCTCTGTCCTGCTTCCTTAGGCAAGGGCTTGTCAAAAGTCTTGGGTGTAGAAAGCCTTGGCCTTATGTAGTTTGAGGACCCAAGAACTCCCCCCAAAATTGCAATGTAGTGACCAAAGAAAGGACCCCCCAGTATGCCTTCCCTACCAGGAGCCTCTGCAGCCTGCTTCAGAAAGAGTCCTGTCTGTAAAGACCTCTCTGCTGACAATCAGTGTAGCCTTGGCTGTCTTCCTGATAGCTAGAGGAGTATTGCTGGGACATCTTACTTTTGACTCCACTATTTAGTCTTTTTTCCGGTGTGGCTCCTCTGTGTGTCTCATCTTTTAAAGTACTTCTAAACCTTCTTTCTATGTGTGTCATTCTCTCCCAGTAAGAAATAAAAGAATATCAGAAACCAAAGCAACCCTTAGAGCTATTGCCATAAAATAGCAGAAAGTAAGGATGTCTCAGCTACCCTTTGGCCGGGCGCTACCCTTTGGCCGGGTGCCTGCCCGCTGATGCCCACCCTCCACCCATCTGTCTGTCCCTCGCACTTGGTGCCTGGTCCAAACCCCATTTATCTACAGTCAAGGTACACTTTCCCAGCTCTGCTTTCTGTCTAGGGGTGACCTGGCAGCACTGACGTTGGCTGCACGGGGTGAATCACTTGTGTTTCTTTGTGTCCCATGGGGGAAGCACATGACCGTGTCTGGGTCTTCTGGAAGAGGAGACTCCCATCAGATGTGTGGTTGGACTTTCTAAAACGTATTTGGAGATGAAAACAGAGTGGGAGGACCTCTCCTTCCATGGAAGATCTCTGGGAAGTTGGCGGAGGAGTGTTTGTGGTGGGTGTCCGGGTGTGAAATCCCAGCTCCCTGAGGTGAGAAGGCCATTTTGCCACCTTAGGCAGCCGGCAGGGGCCGAGGGCGAGGCTGAGCCCCCCAGAGAAGCCGAGCTCCTCTCCCCGCCACCAAGGGCCAGCACCCGGGCCGTGCATCTTCCTTCTGGCACATGTCTTTCTGTTCTCTTGTGCACTCTTTTGGCCAGTCTTTATCGATGCCTGACTGTAGGGTGACAGTCAGCTGTGCAGAGAGTATTTGTGTTCTGGTGTTGTGTTGCTTACCATCCGTCTACACGGTTGCTTCATTGACGCCTCGGGCTTGCCCTGGGACCTGGCACTTGTCCGCCCCCCCCCTCTGTGCATGGAGAAGTGACACTCCGAGAGCTGTGGGCAACTTAGAAGAAGGCGTGGGTTGTGACTCACTCCCTCCATGCCAGGGCCTGTGGGTGCTAAGCCACCACTTGGGCAAAAAAGTGTGGTGTGTTCCTTCAAGGATACTGTGGTTCAGGTTGGTCGTGGGCACAGGGCAGGGCTGAGAATCCACCTGAAGGAAACCCTTTGGGACGGGCCGAGGCCAGGGTAGGGGAGCCGGGGCCGGCAGCACCGCCCGTTGCGGTGGGAGCCCCGCCCCTGGTAGCGTCAGATGCACTTGGCTCGGTGTCCTTGGGAAAAAGAGCCTTGACACCTTCCCAGGGGGCCACAGCCAGGACTCTGACCAGGACTTGCAACAGCTGGCCCAGAGGGCCGTTAGACGTGTGTGTATTTGAGAAGCACGCCCCAGTGTGACAAGAAAGATGTGGTCCCAGCGATCAAAGCGGCTGTACCGAAGCTGAAAGACTTTGCTCACAAATGCTCATGTGAGGTCACGGAATTTTCATTTCTTTCATGTCTTCAGTGGCCTATACTTTTTTCCAAGAAAATACGGTACCAGCCTCCTTCTCTCGCCCGACAGTCGATGTGAGGGTTTCCTTGTGTCCTGTGACTTCTCTAGGGTTCCACCTTCCTCAGAGAGAAAGAGCCACAGACTTGGCACACTTCGTAGTAGAAAGAAAAATCAAGTAAGTAGATGAGAGTTTTAGCTTTTTGATTGGTTCTTTCTCTAGACTTTGCTGTCTTTTAGAAAAAAAATTTTTTTCACATTTGTGTTATTTGTTAATTATTTGATTTCAATAGCTTTAGGAGCTGCAGATAGTTTGGGGTTACATAGATACACTGTATAATTGTGAGGAAGTCGGGGCTTCAAGTGCGTCCACCATCCCCACCTGTGCACACTGAACCCCGCAGGTGACTTCTTTGTCCCTCCAGCCCTTACCCTCCTCCCCTTCTGAGTCTCCAGTGTCCGTGACACCCTTCTCTCTGTCTTTGCAGATCCTCAGTCTAGCTCCCACTTTGCAGTGAGAACAGGCGGTGCTTGGCTTTCTGTTCCCACATAAGGTCACTTAGGAGAATTCTCCAGTTCCATCCAAGTCGCTGCAAAAGACATGAGTTCATTCTTTTTTATGGCTGCAGAGTATCCCATGGTATGTACATCTGGTCTGATAATTAAGTCTGTGAACTCACCACCGTGTGCTTACATTGGCAGCGCTGTACAGACAGCTCAGTAAGGTTTCAAAACCTTGGTATATCAGTGTCTCACAGCTGTGTTTGTGTCGACGTGGGGCGGTGTCTTGCTGAGTGGCGTTCATTATTGTTGTTGCATGTGTTTGTGTGCTGTTGCAAGAATGCCGGTGCTTGAATGAAGGCAACAGACGAACATTACATTTCTTGTTAAACTTGGCAAGAGCGGAAGTGAGATCAGGGACATGTTGGTCCATGTTTATGGGGATAATGCCGTGATGAAAACCACAGTGTGCAGATGGATTAGCTGTTTTTTCTGAGGGGTAGTGTCACCGGTGAAGAGAGGTCAGGTGGCCAGTAATGAGCGGAACTGATGAAAACATTGCAAAAATTCATCAAATTGT